TATATATATATATTATCAAAGATTTACATAGAAATAAAAATTCATTATGACTATTACTCTCTCGCTTCTCTCTACTTTCTCTCTCTAGAGCACGTTAGTGAATTACCGTGCTAAGCCATCGGAGTGCCCAGAGGAAGGCCGGCGAAGAAGCAAAACAACAAAGCAGCAGTGGTCATTGAAGCCATTTCTAAAAGGATTGGAGTAACAACAGCATGCAGCGATGGTGAAGCTTTAGAAGAGGTGACAGAATGGTCAAATCTACCAAATCGAAGAAGTGGACCTAACACACCACTTTCCGGTGTAATTCTGAGCGGATCTATGCAGATGAGCAACAACCAAACAAAAGGAACTCCTCAATCCACGGTGCATGTACATACATGTAGAAGTCAGACTCAACAGGAACTGATAGAATATGGAGACGATAAGGAGAAGGACATGCAGCAGATAGAGGAGGAATCACAAGCTAAAAGGCCGGAGAATAAGACATGGGCAAACCTAGTGGAAAATAATCGATTTTGGACTACGAGGTATGAATCTTAGCTTTGTAGCTCCAATTGTTCAAAATGGGGAAACAATTGTGGAATTAGAAAAAAATGAAGTAGAAAAGGAAACAGAGAAATGGCGGAATGCTTTGATACTGTATGTTGTAGGTAATACACCTACGATTGGAGCTCTAGAGAGATTCATTGCAGGCCAGTGGAATTTTGTAGCTAAGCCAATGATATTTTACCATAATGAGGGGTATTTTGTGATAAAATTCAACAATACGGAGGATATGGATGCTATTCTGTATTCTGGACCTCATACAATTGGAAACTGATCACGCCCAACTCTAGTCCTAAAAAGGATAAGTGGTCGCTGCAAATATAATCCGGTCTAAAAGTCCGGAGTCGAATCCCACAGAGAACTAAGGCTTAGCTATATCTGTTTAATATCACTAAGAAGACAAGTTTGAACAATTTCCTAAATTATAAAGATTAAGATTTATATTTCTAACTAATTAACTAGCAAATACTACAAAGCGGTAAAATTATCAACTAACGAGACAAAGGGTTGGAGACTAAATTAAGGAGATCTAGAGTTATGATTTTTTCAATTGTCGGAATCCTTCTAGCTATGTTCCCTACAATTTCGCCAATGTATTCTCTAGTGATCGTGAGCACTTTAGGTGCCGTAATTCTCTCTCAAGCAACTACAACAATTTACTAGACATATTCTCTCGAACTACGCTAGTTGGCTTTATCTAAACGCTCACTATGACCACGTCAAGGCTTTGTTATTTCTAAACCTACATTTAAACCCAACGTATTGATTTCTCACATACGTTAGGAGTGACATTGTTCAACAACTACCTAAATATGTACTCTCTCTCGAGCAGTACACACTAAATAGGCACAGTCAATTGATGGCCATTCAATCAACAGCAACAAACACGTAATTGAACAAGTAGAGAAATCCAACAACTCAATTATATAAAAATATAACAAGTATTTATCCTACAAAAGGTTCCATCAAAACCCTAGAAAACGAATTAGCTATTCATAATAGTATGCAAAAATACAATACTAGAATTCATAACCAATAATGGAAATAGGAAGAAGGAAGTGAAAAACTCATAGAAGAATTTTCCGCCTTGCTCCCAGTGTGTTCTTGACTCCATAGGTCGAATTCCC